GTGGCAATGGGGGGGATAGGACACATATGTAATACCTTAATCAATAAAGAAAAATAAATAAATAAAATCAAGGGGTAATCACAGTACTTTTCCTGTAAGGTGGTTATAAGGATTCATGTTTTCTAAATGTCCATAAAGTGCTTCTTAGCATTATTCCTGGTATATAAGTAAATACTCAAGGGAAATGGTACCTATAATAACCCTGGCTGGGTGGTTCAGTTGGTTGGAGCATTATTCAGTACACCAAAAAGGTTATGGGTTTAATTCCTTTAGTGGCACTAAGGGAGGCCACTGATAGATGTTTCTCACATCAATGCTTCTCTCTCTCTCTCTCTCTCTCTCTCTCTCTCTCTCTCTCAAATCAATAAAAACATATCCTCAGGTTCAGGTTTAAAAAAGAAAAAAAAAAAGGGTACCGACTATAAAATGACTCCTTCAAAGGAGAATCTCCCTCTTTTCAGAAAGCAATGCATCAAGACCCAGCTGTTTTGGACTGACATTTTCACTGGTATCTTATATGCTCTGAATCATCAAAGTTCCCAAGAAAATACTTTTTTTGAGCAATGCTATGAGTTAATTATCTCAAGAATGACTATAACCCAGCAGCCTGACCAGATGAACTACATCCATTTGAGTTAGTTTGCAGATGTTTTCCTGTGACTTTGGGACTACAGATTTATTCTTTAGATGTTGATGACTCCTTTGCCCTGATGGGATTGGGATTTTGTATGCCTCTCTTGAACTGCACAGCAAAATAACCACAGGCAATTCCAGATAGCCCACTTCCAGGACTGGGAACTTTGTGCAGTTCCCCACACTCTACAATTCTAAGGAAAATAAAGTAGGACCTGGGGTAGGCCAGACACTGAGGGAAAAGTCATTTCACTCCATCAATTCTGCAATCATTTCGCAAACTCTTTTGGAGAAACAAAGGTACGGTCTGTGCACTCTTGAGTCCTCATCAAATATAGATGGAGAAAAAGTTACATTTGTTCACTCATCCATTTATTGAACAACACTCTGGACAAGGTTAGCGATGACCTTTACATGGTAAATACCTTGGCCCATTCTCAGTCTTCATGTTACTAAAATGGACTGTGGAATCTGACACAACTGAACTCTCCTTGAATGCCATGTTCACTTGGCTTTCTGGGCCATTCTTGATTCTCCTTCTACCTTCACTGGCAACTCAGAAGGGGTTCTTTTCTGATTCTTACTCACCTTCCTGAATTCTACACCCTGGGTTTGTCCTTGAACCTCTTTTCTTTTTAAAGTACATTTACCTCCTGTGATTTTAAATAAATCTGTATGCTGACAACTCCCAAGTTTGTATTTTTAGCCCATATTTCTCCATTCCAGACATATAGCATATCCATCTACTACTCAACATCTCTACTTGGCCATGACCATAAGCATGTCAAGCATAAGTCCAAAACTAAATTTCTGATCCACACCACTCCTCTCATAGCCTTCTCATCCCCTTAATTGCAACTTAATCCTTTCAGTTACTCAAATAAAAAATCATGGAGTTGCCCTAACCGGTTTGGCTCAGTGGATAGAGCAGAGCATTAGCCTGCAGACTGAAGGGTCCCAGGTTCAATTCCAGTCAAGGGCATGTACCTTGGTTGCGGGCACATCCCCAGTAGGGGGTGTGCAGGAGGCAGCTGATCGATGTTTCTCCATCATTGATGTTTCTAACATCAATGTTTCTAACTCTCTATCCTTCTCCCTTCTTCTCTGTAAAAAATCAATAAAATAGGATGAGGACACATTTGTAATACCTTAACCAATAAAGAAATTAAAGATTTAAAAAATCAATAAAATATAACTTTAAAAAAAATCATGGAGTTATCTTTGACTTATATTCCACATCTGATTCGTCAGCAAATCCTACTTTAAAAATATATCCCAAATACTACCTTGGTCCAAGTTACTATCATCTTATGCCTAGATTATTAAGGCTTGTAACTTGTCATCCTCATTTTGCCCAGAACCCTTAGACAGTCTTCTCTCAACATAGAGGTCAGAGTGAACCTGTGCATTAGATCACTTCCTTCTTTAAAATGCTGAAGTAGCTCCCCACTTCCCTCTCAGTTCAAACCAAATTCTGTCAAAGGTTTATACAGCCTGTACTTCTTCCCTATACACACACACACACATACAGACACACACCTCCTTGACTCATCTCCCCTATTACCCTCACTCATTCTGCTCCAGCCATACACACCCCCTTGCCATTTCTTTGCCCTTGATCTCCTTTGCCTGGACTGTTTTTCCCTCAAACTCCTGCAAAGCTTCAGTCCTCATTTCCTTCAAGTATTTTCTAAAATGCTATCTCCTCAGTGGGGCCTCCTAATTATGATTTAAAATCATACTCCCATCCTCCCTCCATGCTTTATTTTCCTCTATGACATGTGTCACCAAAATTAATATCCTACATGTATGTATTTATTTATTATTTATTTATTATCTAGTTCCCCCACTGCAATGTGAGCTCCAGGAGACCAGAGGGTTTTTTTTTATTTGTTTGTTTATTTGTTTTAGTTTGTAGCATTTTCAAAAGGATTGATGACGTAACATCACCTGAAGCTGGCAACTGCTTCTTACACACACACCCCAATCCAGGATGGGGCA